GCCCATACTGGGGCGCCATATAAAATAACCGCCTGCAAAACATGCATGTACAATCGGCGTTGTCTCTCAGCAGGTCCGCCGAGATTGGGCATTATTCGTGCCAGGGCAGGAACTACCCCACGTCTCTGTCACTATTCGTTGGAAATGGCTCTTGAATGTCCATTTGTCGTCCAGGACAAAGCCCAGATATGTTATTGTTGGGCCGGGTTCTATCTCGGCTCCGTTTAAGAACACAGGCAAAATCTGCAGCCGAGCTCTGTTATTCCGGAATATTATCGCCTCCGTCTTGTCCGGAGCAATGCTCAGGCCCAACGCCCCAATGACTCTCCTGATAACTTCCAATCCACGATTAGCCACCGTGACCGCGTCATTCACGTCTGATCTGCCCGCGGCCACCAATGTGTCATCAGCGTAGCAGAAAATGCGACAGGTAGGCGGAACCTGAAATCGCAAAACCTAGTCATATGTAAGGTTCCAGAGCAGGGGACCTAAAACGGAGCCCTGTAGGACCCCACACGAAATCCACCTTCTATACATGCTACCATTCTCACCAGTGTACATAATAAATCTAGACCTGAGATAATCGGCCACGATATGCTTAACGTAAACAGGCATTTGCCATTGCATCTCGAATTGCTGGCCAGGGCAACGAATTGAATGCATTTTTAATGTCTAGCGACGCAGCGACACAAATGCTCTTATTGGCTGTGAAAGAAGAAGAAAAACTTCTTAGAGCCAACACCGCATTGCATGTGGATCGTCCTTTTCGAAAACCGAATTGTCTCGGTAAGAAATCTCCACAGGCTTCCACCCAACTTATCATTCGCCGTGCCAAAACGCGCTCAAATAGTTTCCCGATATCGCTCAGGAGACAAAGCGAGCGATACGAGGACGGACTCCCAGGCCGCTTACCCGGCCTTAGGCAAAAGGACAAGTCGGGCAATCTTCCAACAATTTGGGAACCGGCCTTGTAGTATGCATGTATTGAAGCATCTTATAAGTCGATCAGGGGCCGCGGAGAACACAGCTGCAACAACGCCCGTCGAAATACCGTCAGGCTCCGGCGCCGAGTTCCGCCGCTCGATATCCTCAAAAGCCGTCCTAACGTCGTCCAGGGAAACCAGGGCAACATCATCAACAACCGGAGGGAAACCAAGCTGTTCTGCAGCGTCTGTATGTTCCGGAAAAAGACCATTCACGATGCTCTCCAATTCATGTCCTTCAAGGGACTCAGTGACCGTTGAGACACCGCTTCTAAGGCGGTTTATCACCAATCGATATGGCCGTCCCCAAGGATCTTAATGTAATGTAGCAAGTAATTCCTGCCACGCTTTGTTTTTTGCTTCTGCGATAGCAACCCTCAGGCTACGCTGTGTAACCCTCAATTCGATTCTTGCCATCTCTGCATCCACAAGATTCCCTCGCCTTCTCGATTTGACCATTTTCCGCTTGATTGCCGTACACTTGCTTTGTTTCTCTGCTAAGTCCCTGGTCCACCAGTACGTCTGTCGCTTTAAAGGTAACTTTTTCGTACGAGGGGCGGCAACGTCACATGATTGTTCTAGCAATTTGCCTAATTCTATGGCTGCTACTTCTGCTTTGCAGTTTCTCGGCTGGGGGCAGAGCCAGTCTTTTAGAATAATTGATGCTTTCAATAAATCATGGTCCATGTTTTTAGACGACCATCTGGGAAAACTATCCTGTCCCATACGTCTTAGGCTACCAAGTCCATCAGCAGCCATCGGCCCTCTAATCGCCAGCTCAATCAAAGAATGATCAGAAAGCGTTTCAGTATCAATAACTTTCCAATCCTCAATATTCGGCACTATATCTGCTACGCCACGTAAGGTCAACTATAGAGGCACCTTGTGCACGAACATAAGTAGGGGTAGAGCCGCTATTAACGAGGGCAAGGTCCAAAGAGGCAGCCCATTCCTCCACAACTTCTCCCCGTGGGTTAGTATGTCTGACCCCCCAGAGCGTAGAGGCTCCGCAACCTTTTTTTTTTTACGTGGTGGAAATCCTTTATGGATATCCTGACCCTGGGAAAAAGGAGGGCCAGGGTTATATGGGACTCCCTCCTCCCTCCCTCGAGAAAGAGAAGGTTTACCCACTAAAACCACCACGGTGTGCCCACTGTACTCACCATAGGAAGGGACCCGGAACCCCTTGTTCGGGACTCTGCCGAGACCCTCTTTGAGCTTTGAGGTTCGTTACAGAGAGGGAGTACTCATGGTCTCCTTCCAATACCTCCCTGAGTTTGGGACACACACCGCTGTGTCACCCCATCCCGGACCGCGTGCAAGACTCCCATCCCAATTCGTCACGGTCCCGCGGCGACTTTACTATTTCCCGGGAGTGGACGGTACTACCCCGAGATTAATAATCGCCGCATGTCTTCCTTCTCATGCGTCTTTCAAACGCGTCCCCTAGGGCGGAGGGCTAACGAGAGGAATCGGCTCCTCCCAACACCCACCGCCCCGACCTTCCCCGTCCCCCTCTGCACTCCCTAAAGAGGGCAGGAAAGGGAGGAGGAGGGACTGTGGTCATTGAGGATTGCCTCGAGGATGCGCACGGGAAACGGGGGCCCCGCTACCCGCTCGTACACGCCTCCGAGATCTCCCAAGGGGAAGAGTCTCTCCCTCTCTCTTTTGGCAGTCTCCTTCTGCTCCATCACCACGGAGCAGAAGAAGACCATTCTTCCCTCTCCTTGGAGGCTGACGCCCGCAACAGGCCCTCTAGAGAGAGATCATCACCAATTTTGGCGGCAAGTTCTCGGCGTTCCGGAGCCCACCGTGGACACTTCTCCACAGTGAGCTCCACCGAGTCACTTGCCGCCCCGCACTCGTGACAGTGTGCCGTTGGCTCGCAGCCTATACGACACAGGTTCTCACCGAAGCATCCGTGCCCGGTGAGCACCTGCGTCACCCGGTAGGTGAAACGACCGACCCCGTTCTCCAACCACACCTTGAGGTGGGGTCGGATAACCCGGACGACTTTTTGGGCGGCCACGTGCGGCTCGTTCAGGAGCTGCTCCCAGTTAAGGAGCAGTTGTCGCCGGGCGTGGCGCTCCGACTCTGCGAGGGCCTCCTGCAGAACAGTATCTGCAATGCTCTCCTGCTAAAGCAGCTCGACTCGGCAAGCGTATCTCGCCGAGTACGTGCCCGCAAGGAAGGCCAAAAGAGGCATCCCCGCCAGTACGCCCGCCGTCTCTGTGGTAACTGTGCGGAAACCGCTGATCACGCGGAGAGCTGCTGCTCGTTGGGCAGCGCGAAAAAAAACCAAACTTACTCCGCGCCCCCGCCTCCGCTGCGGCCTCCGCCCACAACGGTGCCCCGTAGAGGGCCACCGACTGGACCACATTCGCGTAGAGACGACAGATCTTTCCTCTCGGGCCCTCAAGGTTCGGTTAAATACGCGCGAGCGCGTTTGCGATCTTCCGGACTCTGGGGGCCAAGCAAACAAAATGCTCGCCGAAGCGCCACATCGGGTCGAGGTAAAGACCAAGGTACTTAATGGTAGTACCCACCTCAATCCGTACCTTACTTACAGAGAGACTGTGTCCTACGGGCCGTCCACGACAGGAGCCGTGAAACCACATAACCTCCGTCTTGTGGACGGCTACTGTGAGACCCAGTCTCTCAATGCGGTCAACGACACAATTTGTGCCACACTCAGCTAGCAACCTGGTCCTGTCCCAGTTCTTCCCAGAGGCCACTACCAAAGTGTCATCTGCGTAGCAAATGACCGACAAGCCTCTGGGGAGAGCAGCCTGGATCACCACATTGTATCCGAGGTCTCACAACAAGGAGCCAAGAACTGACTCCTGTGGGACCCCGCGATACATCTTTCTGCTAAGTCGTGACCCATACCGGCCGGTGAACGCTATCTCCCTGTCGCGGAAGTAATCTCCGAGGATCCTACTCAGATAGGGTGGAATTCTGTGACGGACAAAAACGATAAACTTGGTCCGCGCGCCCGCCCCCGCCGCGGCCTTCACCCACCGCGGTAACCCATAAAAGGCCACCGCGTGTACCACGTTGGTAAAGAGACGGCCGACCTTCTCAGGCTCCGCAACCTTTTTTCTTTTTTTTTGCATGGGGGAAATCCTTTACGGATACCTCGCATCCTGGGGGAAGGAGCGGGGTTACGTGAGACTCCCCTCCCCAGCCTGCAAGTCGAGGAGGGTATACCCATTAAAACTCCCATAATGTGCCTGCCTCGCTCGTCTCAAGGAGGACCCGGTACCCCTGATTAAGGACTCATCGCAAGTCCTCCCTCGAGCTCCATGCCGTTCTCGTCGGGAAGAACTTGTTGTTCTTCTTCCCGCGTCATCTCTGGCTTAGTGGCACAAACGGGACACACGCCGCCGCGCCGCTTTTTTACTGGGGACGCGTGCAAGACGTGAAGGGCCCCACCTTGACCCGTCACGTCCTCGGCAGCAGGGTGACGAGTTCATCCGGGGAGGCTGCCGCAAAACCAACTCATGTCCGAAAGGTTCGCTTGCCAGGGCGACAGGCTGACGAGAAAGCCGGCTCCCCCAACACCTGCCGCCCCAGCTTCCCTCCCCGCTACTAAGAGCGGAGAGAAGTCCGTTGTCAAGAGGGGCCACCGGGACCCCGGCGACTCGGCACCCCGCCCGCATGCGCCCCGAAGGTCCCACCTGAGGGAGAGGGGCTCTTTCCCTCTCTCTCTCCGCGACCTTTTTCTGCTCCATAACAGCGGAGCAGAAAGAAATCACGGCCCCCCATAAATCCTTATGGTGACTAAAAAATTAGCCACCACAGCGCCTACATATAGGCAACAGCATCTGCCGATAAGAAAACATAAAAATTGTACACGCGCCTCGTAGCGCAAGCGTTGTAAATAGGACTTGTAAATATACTCAGTGAAGATACGCCCTAGTGTATTTCTTGGAAAGCAACCTATCATCTCTATCCACTTCCTATTGCGGCGTTCATACTCATAAACCGCTACATTGGTGACCCCGACGGAAGAACATGTCGAAGAAACAGGAAACCACCATCTTGGTAAGCGACGATGAAGGGATAAGCAGCAGAGCAACAATGCGGATTCCCGCATTCTGGCCAGAAGATCCAGAAATATGGTTCGCGCAGCTAGAGAGCCAGTTCGCTCTCTGTGGAGTAAGAGAAGACGAAGCAAAGTACGCATATGTACTATCAAAATTGGAGCCAAAACAAGCGAGAGAGGTGAAGGATGTAATTACACAACCACCGACTGGAAGCAAATATCCTACAGTAAAGAAAGCATTAATCCAGCGTTTGACGGACTCACAGGAAAACCGCATCCGGCAACTTCTGGAGCAAGAAGAACTAGGAGATAGAAGACCNTCACAGTTCCTACGCCATTTAAAAACTTTGGCAGGGACAACAGTATCAGACAAAGTATTACGAACACTATGGCTGGGCCGCCTACCACCACAAGTACAAGCAATTTTGGCGACAAGGGCAGAAGACGACATAGACAGCGTGGCCGAACAGGCGGGGGTTTACAAGGATGAGCGGACAAACAGCTGTTTGTTTGTCGTATCTTAGTTCCGTGGCGCGGCGGGGCGCGCGGTGCGGGCGCGGTAACGGCTGGCGCTTGCTGGCGCGGGGTAACGCGCGGTGCTGGGACGGCGCGCAGGCCGTTTCGTGGCGTGGGGAAACGCGCGGTGCGGGTGGCGCGCAGGCCGTCAGCGTATCAAGAGGCACGGTAGTGCCTCGCGCCAAGTTCACGCGCGCGCAGTGCGCCCGAACTGTGCAAGGCACACCCTTTGACTATATAAGTATGGACTGCTAGTTCCCCCCACTTTTCCCATTTAAGCAATGTATAAGCAGCGTAGGTAACATAGATAAGAAATAGGCACCGCCTTTGGGCCAAAAAGCGGGAAATTCAAATATAGTTCGAGAAAG